AACGGCATGGTGGTCTTTGGGTTAGCCACGTCCCATGACAGTGAAATTGTTTCAAAACGAGTGCGGGTACGTCCAGGTGATCAGCCTGGATATCCTAAGGACACCATAGAGAGCTTCGTTGGGCACAGCTCTATGGGCCTTCTGTGCCCCCCTGCTGTTGAAAATAAGTCTGTTGTGCAAAAACGGGAAATCAAAATTCTCAAATCTCAAATCGATTAGAAGTTTTACATCTCTTCAGATGTTCCACACACAAACACTAGACAAGAACTGGATCATTGTAATGATCCGTCGGGAACTGAATCCCATAACATGCAATTAAACAAGACTTTTCGTGGAGGGGTTCTCGGCTTAGCCCCGTGCCATGTCGATCGGAAAATAAATAAAATTGCACGTACGTTTGCACAGCAACTTGGATGGGCCTTCGTCCCATGGCCCCCGTGCAAGAGTAGAAGTTTTACATCTGTTCAGATGTTACACACAGACACACATACACCCGGCCGAAGCCGGGTAAACCCTGAAAGGCAAGAGGAAGAAAAAAGCGGACACCAACGACGGGCCAACGGACAAAACAGCGCAGGGGGAAGGGAACAAACGAACCTCCAGAACCAACCTACACGGAGAAACGGACCTAACCAGCACAGAGCACACCCCGAAACACCACGACACATTACAGAGGGGCACGGGGGATAATTAGGGACCATTTAGATCATTTAGGGACCAAATGGGGAACTAGTTGATGAAGAGGAGCGAAACAACAAAAAAGCTAAATGGGATTCAGCTCAAGCCTAAAGAGTCGTGCGTTAATCCCTCGATCGAAGGGACGGTAGTCGGTCACACCACATGGGCATTAAACGGCTGTTCAAATTCAAATGAATTAGATGCACAAAATGTTTGACCTCACCACATACCAAAAGGACCATACCTGCAGGAAGAGGACATGCCTGTTGCCTTCAGTATCCCTTGTCATGTTGCAAAGCTTGAGCATCAGCGATAAAAGAAAGTTTCTGGTGTTTCGGAGCGACATCTCTTCAACAGAAGTGAGCTTGCCCGAGGTTCGCATAGACAACAGGAGCAGCGGGACATTGCAAAAGGTGCATGACCGAAAGACCGACTGTTTCGCTTTACTTAGACGAATTACTAAATTAACATGTGTAAATTCAGAAGTCAAATCAGTCCGCCTTCACATTAAGCAAGGTTCCCTCAATTGGGTCCATGGCACCAATCGGAGCCACCATGGAAATCACACTAGACAAGAACTGGATCATTGTAGTGCTCCGTCGGGAACTGAATCCCATAACATGTAATTAAACAAGACTTTCGTGGAGGGGTTCTCGGCTTAGCCCCATGCCATGTCGATCGGAAAATAAAATTGCAGGTACGTTTGCACAGCAACTTGGATGGGTCTTCGTTGGCACATGCCATCCAAGTGCCCATGGCCCCTCTGCAAGAGTAGAAGTTTTACATCTGTTCAGATGTTACACACACAAACACACACATACATGTGTGTATTTATATATATACGATGCTGATACGCCAGGAAACAATACCTACATGCATATGCGTGTGTGACGTATGTGTGTGTGTGCGTGCATACATCAACATATATGAGAATATGATACTTTAACGAACAGGAGGCGATGATCTGGACCTTCCAGGGCGCAGCTTGGTGTGGCATCATGGCATCTGGGAGCCCAGCTCTGCTCGTTGCTCAGCTTCCTTCTCTTTTTCCTTGACGGTTTTAACGCATACTAAAAGGTGCAGTGTTGTGGCAATGAACCCAGCACTTGATGAAGCGCAAAAGTCCAGAGTCCACGTACAGTCCGTCATACGCATTGGGATCGAGTCAAGATAGTATGTACTAGGTATAGAGATGTACAGAGCCTTGAATCTGGAACACAAACGCCCTACATGAGAACCGTTCAGCCTGTCCGAAGAAAAGTTTGCAAATGGAGATCCGGGAGGTTGGGAGCCCACTGAATTTCCAGGGGTGCCGAATCAAACCTTTCCAAAATGTCGACTTCTGAAAGGAGCTTGCTGTTATTTATACATTATAACTCTGCGGTTTGCGATGCCGAATATGAAAGCTTAGTGTGACTATCGTGCATTCGAGATGTTTGTGCTATCAGTGGTGCAGCAACACCAATCTAAGTCTGGGTTTCTGATGCGCTGCTTTCCTGCGTCTCGCTGAAGGGCTCATCATTCTTTTCAATGTTCGCCAATGTCTGGCTCGGACTGGGTTTCCATAGTTTTCCATGTTTTCCGCGCGAACAAGCAGGCAATAATCCCAAAAAACCTCTAAACTCAGAGCCTTGCTTTCGACGGGAATCTGCGCGGCATGGGCTGCTCAAACTACAAGTATGTCACCGGCACCAGAGGGCCCAGGGAGCTGCTGCAGATTGCGAGGACTGTAGGATCAATGGGGCGTTTGGAAACTGAAAGGCAGCTGACTTTGGTGACGCATGGTTTCCATTGAGATTGCCAGTTTTGAGTGCCAAAATAAAAACCAGCACTTCGGAGACTTCGTGGGGGGTCCCCGGCGCAAAGGGAGCAACACAGTTCACACAAAGCCGACCAATCAACTCTGTCAACCGACGTGGCAAAGACAAAAGAGCCAACACCGTTTTCAAAAAAACAGGAAAAACCAAGGAAAGCGAGTCCGATTTCTTCCGCTGCTGACCAAGACTGCAATGAGATATCCTTGAAGCCTTGTTTACGACCCCAAGAGCCGGACAAGGGGGGAATCGATACCCCACCGTCACTCAATTGCGACATTCGTCACCTACCCAGACCCCTTAAGCCCACTATGTTCGCAATAGTAACTTCAGCCTAGCCTGCCGGCTGGCTTTCGTAACAAAGGCTAATAAGCAAACAATGCATTTTTTTTGAAAAAAAAAGCGCAAAAAACAACAGCGGGCACAAAAAAAGAACGGATCGAAGAACTGTGTCCTTATTTATTCGCCTCCTCAACTTGCTAAACCTGTAACCGAATATACCACACACAAATCATATCCGCAGTAGGGGGCGGTCTTGGGTGCATCGGAGACCAGTGGTCCTCCACTTGGTGGGATTTTCTTTTAAAGCAGTGTTCTCGCTTTGCTTGTTGTTCCATTGTTTCTTTTGCGCCGAAAGACTGCATTTTTTGAGCGCACTGTCTTTTGAACGGCCAGCCTCTGTGTCTCGAGGATGCTATTTGTACGCTGTCCTGCACTTGTGCCTACATCATGTGTGTCTACACACGTGTATATATATATATGCTTACAATTTTATGTATATTGTACTACAGATGTATGTGTATATACATACCATGTCCTCCTTGCCCTGCACTAGCCCACCCCTAGAGTTGCAAAAAAGTAGTTTTCAAGTTGCTGTGATGCTTGGATATTCGACGTATGTCAGCATAGAACATGGAGCTCAGGTAGGCACATCTAGTGGCTTTCGCGCTCGTCTCTCCACCTGAATCTGTCTTCCGGAGTGACTCGCGACTGAGAAGGCTGAGAAAGCTGCTGATTTTGGGAATTGAAACTGCTTTGGCTTCTTTGGTTTGGCGGAAACTGGCCAATCAACTGCAGCACGGCAGACCGGAGTCTCAGCCGTGCAACTTAACCCGGTACAGCCCTGCACAATCATCCCCCACGGCTGAAGAGCTTCCAGCTGCCGCATGCTTCCAGATGCTGCTAAAGTGCGGAAGTGTGGAGGTCCCATATCTTTTGCACAGCCTTCTTCGCAGACTGCGCAGCGCCTCAGTGAATGCAAGGTCTGCAAGGTGCAACCTGGCTCTGGCCCAAAATTGGTTTGCTGCCATGTCTCATGATATATAAAGTTCTCTGGGGAAAGGGATTGCTTGAATTTCTACGAAAATGTTGCATACACGCTGCCGCCTGATCTTTGAGTGCGTGTCACGTGTTTCGTTTCGAACGCGTACAGCAATTCAGGCTTGCTTGCTTAGCAGCATCTGAAGTTGTCAGGACTGGAAAGGCTCCTTCTGTGAAAACACGCTCCGCCCCAAGACTCAACAAAGAGGAAAGGGCCCCAAATCACTTTGGCTCACTTTGAAATGAAATGAAACCTCACTCGTCTTGTTAAAGTCACCACTCTGTCTTGACGTTATATAAATCTTCCCAAGGCACTCTGGTAGGTCTCTTGCTCTGTGCCTAGCCTCCACGACATGCAAAACGAGAAAGACAATGGCTGCGTGCATCTACGTGTCACGGGAAATGGTGGCCGACGCATTGGATTCATTGAAAATCAAGAAGAAACAAATGCAATTCCTGGGTGATACCTGCCTTTGGAACTAGGCCCCGTATACTCCTTACTACTTACAACCTGTAGCACAATGTGAAAATGCTCTAAGGCATGCGTGGATCGACACCGCTGCTGTAGCTGCACAAGGACACTGTGAAAAGAACAAGGTCCCGAGGGTCCTTTCAGCTACGGCAGTCCTTCACACGCTACGGCTCCAGGCCTGGATGCTGTCTGCACATCTGCGGAAACACAGGCCAGCAAGCAAACAAGAACGAAGCGCAGCGCCATCGGCCTTGCAACTTCTGTTCAGAAGTTCCAAGGAAACGAAAACAACAAACTATATAAATAATGGTTTGCCAAAATTCAAGTTGAAAGGAGTTAAGAGGTTGAAAGAAGTTGGAAACCAATCCAGTTGTACGATAAAATAGTTTGCAAGTGCATGGTTGCATGACTGAACATAATGAGATCCTTGCAGCCAAGGGGCAAGCTGCCAAAAACTCAACGAATGACTGACAGGCACAAATGGTCTACAGTAGATCAAGTGCCTGGGCCTTGAAGCAGCAAGGATCGGCCAAGACTGCCAAGACTCAAGCAGCAAGATATCACCCACACAGCAATAGACAAAACGCAAGGGCGTTTGCGGAGCATAAGCACATATAAGCACCATGGTTTGACCTGCGAGAAGAAACAAAGTTAAGGTAGGCACGAGAGCTAGTGCTGACATGTTCTCGTGATTCAGATGCAATTCTCAAGAAATTCAACATTTTTCTCCAATGTTTGCTCCCTCTGGTCCGGCTGCTTTGCGCCGAACTCAGCGCAGGAACTTGCATCTCAGCAAGTCCTGCAAAACTTTGCGCCTCCAGCTTTGAAAATCAAATCTGCAATCACTGGATAGTGATCAGAAGGGTTCAACAGTGATGGTTGCACCTCCTCTAGAGCGTCGGCGGGCGACCGGAACTGTTTGGGCTCAAAAGCATGTGCTTCAAGCTCAAAAAAAACCGGGTCAAAGAAGATGTGATCGATAAGATAGTAGGCGTGGGAACCAATCTTTTTGGCCTGGGCTGACAAAGGCCCTCGGACCTTATTCGAGGTCACTGGAGGATCGAACTCGCTCTGAATCTTCTTTGGTTTCCCTTCAGCATCGAAAAAATCATCCCAAACTGAAGCTCCAAGACATTGCCGCAAGACCTGAAGTGGAAGTCATCAAATCGACCCCATTGCCACGGAACAATTGCCAACGGAAACTATTTGGTGAAATTGTTTCGGCGCATGATTTGCCATCGGTCTGCCTTCCAGGAACTTTCGCCGGAAGTGCGAATTCCAGGGTGGGAGTTTGCATCCATGCCTATAGACACGGACAAGAGTGCTCCGTCAGGGGCATGACAGTATGGATAACGGATGGGAATTGATACTAGTTCAAACATGTTCAAACTCTTGCTCGCCCTTTGAAACGAGGTGCATAGAATCACGGCGTTTCCAGCATTTTTGGCTTCTTCCACTGCAGCGACCAAACCCCCTGCAGCAAGCAAATCAAGCAGTAGGTACCAGCACCTTCTGACTGCTTCACAACCATATGGCGATGACAGTGGCTTACCGCTCAATTAAGCAGTTGCCATGCTTTACCGTTTTGTTTTTTGGAAATAATCGGATGACTTAACTGTATGACAAAAAATTGGACTGTGATGCTCTCAAGCTGGCCATAACCAACTTCTTTGCGCATCAAAACGGCAATGCCTCAACCAAAGTGTACCATCACGTGGCTCGAGATGACCGGCGAAAGAAACATTCAGGCCGAAGATGAAAAAACAGGGGCGTGATGACAAAATGACATATCATTCTGGTTCAAGATGAAAAAACTCAAAACAAGTTGAAAATGGTCTTGGCTCAAGATGAAAAAGCTCAAGATGAGAAAATGTAAACCACCCTGGCTCAAAGATGGTTGAGTGACCAAATCCAAGGTGAGAAAGGTCAAACCTATGGCCAGGGATAACCATTTTTTGTCATGAGTCATGTTGGGAGACTTCATTCATTTGAGGTTGCTTTCAGGATCAAAAAAATCACTGCTTGCAGCTTTTGCATGGGCATGCTGCTTCTTTGTTATTGCTACATATGAAACTTGACACATCCTTTCACAACATATTCACGATTCAAACGATGATAGGTTATGGCCAAACAGGTTGAAAACCTGTTTTACAGACCCTGTTGGACGCTGTCACAGTGTCTGCTTTCTCAATATTGAGGCGGCGTATTGGCGCGTGGAAGATATATGGCTCAAGTTTTGAAAGTTCTGTCACTTTTGAATGCGTGTACACGATGCAAAGTGCAAAAAACACACAGGCGCATGCGCTGAGGCTGGTGGGGGGTGGCAGGATGGCTCCAAAAAACATCGCAAACGCATGCGCGTTTTTACACGAGTTTGAATGTGGTATTGAATTTGATTGAATTTTGGCGACATGCGCCGCTGCAAATCAAGATCATTGCTGCAATGGAGCAGCCCTTTCCAGTTGCAGCCTCAGCGGTGAAGCGCGTCTGTTGCTGGCAAAGGAAAACCTTTCCAAAGACTCAAGTTGTAGATCGCCTGGGCCGCTTTGCATCTCAGTCTTTATGTTGCATGGTTCAACGACCATCGGACAGTGACTGAAGCATTGTGCATCCTTTTTTGGGCATAGCAAGGATTCGTCGAAGTACGGTTTTCGACCTTAGCTTGGCCAAGTTCTTGAACATGTTTTGACATGAAACTCGTTTGGAAACCTTATTCTAACGGGAAAAGACACGCGTTTGGCGCTGTTGTAAAAGTGGCTCGCGACTTCTCCCCGTTGGCTGCAAGCTTAGCTTCAAGTCATCTTCATCATCTTCTGTCGCTTGACTGCATCTTCATGTGGATTGGCCTCAGGGGCCTTTGGCGCTGTAAGAGTGCCCACACTCACCCACTGACTAAGCAATGGCGCTGTAACAGTGCTGATGCCGAAAAAGTGTCTGAGCGCTGTAAAAGTGCGGACCTACACCTTCAAAAAATACAGAGAATCAAAGCCCGGGGCCCTCAAGCAGTTTCTCAACAAGTTCAGGGGCAGGGTTCGAGGAGATTCTCAGCAAGTTCAGTGGCAGGGTCAGCTTCACCAAATTCAAAAAATATGATTTGTTCCCCACCTGCCAGGTGAGGGTTGTTAGATTTTATCAGAGTTGTTCTTCTCCTCCTCGGCTAGCTCTTCTCCTCCTTCTCCTTCTCCGCCTCCTCTTCCTCCTCCTCCTCCTCTTCCTCCTCCTGCTCCTCCGCCTGTTTCGCCTCGACCATGTCTGCATCAACTTCCACCTCAACTTCCGCCTTGCCAACTCTTCGCCAAGCTCTTTGCCAACTTCCCAGCTCAGTGCGCACTGCTGGACCTCAACCTGGGACCTTCCCAGCTCAGTGCGCACTGCTGGACCTCAACCTGGAACCTTCCCAGCTCAGTGCACACTGCTGGACCTCAACCTGGGACCTTCCCAGCTCAGTGTGCACCGCTGGACCTCAACCTGGGACCTTCCCAGCTCAGTGTGCACCGCTGGACCTCAACCTGGGACTTGCCCAGCTCAGTGTGCACCGCTGGACCTGATAGAATGCCAGAAGATATGCCAGATAGAGTGTTAGAAGATATGCCAGGTAGAATGCCAGAAGATATGCCAGATAAAATGCCATGAGATATGCCAGATAGAATGCCAGAAGCTATGCCAGATAGAATGTTTAGAAGATATGTCAGATAGAATGCCAGAAGGTATGCCAGAGAGAATGCCAGTTAAAACGTCAGATAGATTGCCAGGAGATATGCCAGATAGAATGCCAGAAGGTATGCCAGAGAGAATACCAGATAAAATGCCAGATAGAATGCCAGAAGATGTGCCAGATAAAATGTCAGAAGATATGCCAGATAGAATGCCAGATAAAATGTCAGATAGAATGCCAGAAGATATGCCAGATAAAGTGCCAGAATTTTTGCCAGATAGAATGCCAGAAGATTTGCCAGATAATACGCCAGAAGATATGCCAGATAGAATGCCAGAAAGAATGCCGGAAGATATGCCAGAACATATGCCAGAAGATATGCCAGGTAGAATGCCAGATGCCAGATAGAATGCCAGATAGAATGCCAGAAGGTATACCAGATAAAGTGCCAGAATGTTTGCCAGATAGAATGCCAGAAGATTTGCCAGATAATATGTCAGATAGAATGCCAGAGGATATGCCAGATAAAGTGCCAGAAGATATGCCAGGTAGAATGCCAGAAGATATGCCAGATAGAATGCCAGAAGATATGCCAGATAGAATGCCAGAAGGTATGCCAGATAGAATGCCAGAAGGTTTGCCAGATAGAATGCCAGAAGATTTGCCAGTAACAAAATGTATAAATGTCATGGTGGGGATCACACGAAGTAAAGTAATTTCTTTATTTGATACAAGTCTAGGACTTTTGCATACGCTGATGCTTACGCAATGTTTTTGAATGTACAGCGTGAAGGCGGATTGACGAATGCTTCGTGGGAAGGTCAAGCCGTTGATCTTCTGATTGTCGTAATGATCTTTGTCCTCTTGCCAATGAGGATTGAGATCGAAGCCAAAAGTCCGGTTGTCTTCCACTGTTGTGCGACCTCCTGGTGAGGTCATATGTGGAGTGCTCTCATGACGAGGCTGAGATGACGGAACGGATGGAGTGCTGGGTGAAGCAGCCTGGGTTGGTGGACAAGGCAAAGTAGGTGAGCAAGGTGGAGTGGCAAGGCGAGGTGGAACGGGATATGCAAGGGTTGGTGGCTTGGTGGAGGTGATGACGGAGGTGCAGGTGGAAAGCGTGGATTGGGCCATGTGCCCGACAGGGTAGCGGAAGTTTGGCTCATGGATTGATTCGAAGGATACGCTCCCGACTGTTGCATGTTGAACTGAGGTCGAAACTGAGGTCATGACATTTGCTGTGAGTGCCAGACAGCTGCTTGCATAGGTCCGCACCAGCGAGGGAAGAAAGGTAGTTCTTGTCGTACCGGTTGAACTGGTCCACGAGGTTCGGCGCGGTTTCGTCCCGGCACTGGGGATCGAGATCGGTCCGAGTCCGCCATGATATCAAGACACACAGTTTTTCTCTAACTAGGCTGTGGGGCAAAAACAAAACTGCAAAGCAATACACGAAGGTTCAGTCGAAGTCAAGGAACCAAAATTAGGACCAGTCACGAACACACAAAAGAAAACCCAAAAATCCAAGAAATCTTCCAGCAAGATGCAATTACAACGCGATGCAATGAAGTGGACCCCACCTGAGTTCCTGAAGTAGTGAGACGATCAGATTGGGGCAACCATACTTTTTGATCAAAAGCGTGTCCAGGTTGTCCCTAGAAAGGTCAGATTCGGATTCCTGTTTAGGCCGAACAAAGCTAATAATACATGATAACAGCTGCTCAGTGCTGAGGTCCTGCCATCAACGACGACCTGAGTAGCGTTCCTCATTGCTGCGGTAGTTATAGTCTTCTGAGGATGTGTCGCCAACGTCGATCTTCATATCCAGGTTTTGCCACTTGAGAGCAACGAATTTCAATCCCACATGGTTGCTGTGGGCAATCGTGTACTTCTCAGACGTGGTGACAATTCCTTTTTCCACCACACCGAGCTGAGCCAACTCATTGCCTCCAGCTTTGTATGCGGTGTGGTCGGTTGATCCTCGGTACATCGCCCCGATGACGATGTCTTGCTGTCCTTTTCCTTTCTTTTGGATAGCATCGAGAAGCTCTCTCTCCGCCCATGGTGGGATGGTCTTGTCACTGTTGGATACTTCCCTGCCAAGGTAGAATGCCCCAAAGGTTGGCAATTCGCAACGTTGAAGATTTCGATGATATGACCAGTTGGCTGGTCTGATCTTGCCTTCGAGGAGGATCTGCTGAGAAGTATGAAGTGACGTCCCATGAAGGAGTGCCCATGTGTGGTTTTGACGTTTGCCAAAGGGAGGTGGCATCTGGAAATGACTGGTGTCAGGTACGGGCATGATGAGGGCAAGAGTGTTGGTGACTGGAAGTTCTCTGACGTGGCAGGTGGATAGGTCGTAGCCAGGCAGAAGGTGGGTACTGAAAAATAGTTGGACAGCCTTTTTGACGCCATCCGGAGGGATGCGTTGGTCGACCTGATGGAGCTGTTCACAGGCCTGTTCATAATCTTGGTGGTCCATCGTTGTTGTCGGCTTGGGTCGTTCGGCAGCCGGAATTTCATTGGGAGCTCGCATCCTTTCAGGATGACTCAAGGCAAATCTGACGTTGCGAACCCACTCGTCCTTGGAACCATCTTGAAGGTTGATGGCAACATGTCCTGGAGGGACAGTGGTTGAGCTACGGGATTGGACTGAACCTGACCTGTGTGATGGTCGGTTTTGTTGAGGGTATGTTGTGTTGGAGTCAGAGGAGAATGCCGTGAGTGGTTTGGTGGAGGAGTCGTATTGAGTGTGATGACTGGCTGGTGGTTTTGTGTAGTCAATCCAACCTGAAGCATTGGATGTATTTGAGGATTTTGGA